AGCAAGTCGTGCTGATATTACACAAGCAATATCTGCCTAGACACACACTCACACACACACACACACACACAAATGTTTTCTTGTTCATGTAAGGCAAAAACAGCACATTCCTGTATTTGGATGCAATATTACTAACATTATTTGCAAATAATCACATCACAAGCACATGCAATAAGAATAAGAAAAGAAAGCAATACAAAGTGTTTAGAGTAGTACTTTGTGAGTTTTTAACAGATTTGTAAATAAGCCTAAAGTTTTGACCTTTTTCTTCAAAACTCCTGGGGTTGTGCCTGTATCTCTTGAAACTGCAAATCAAGAGTTTTAATTTGGTATATAACTTGCCAGTGCTATGCAGAGGCGGACAGGCTTTTCTGTGCGAAACAAGGCATTGCACTGCGTGGTCACAAGGAAGACACAGAAAGCCTGAACAGAGGAAACTTTTTTGAGTTGTTTAAAGTGCTTTGTTAATATGTCCCAAGATAAACCAAAGCCTTGATGAGCTTCCAGCTAATGCAAAAGTGATGAGCCCAGACATTCAAAATGACCTCCTTGAAACTGCAGCATCACTTCTCTGACGAAAAATCAGAGTAGAATTGAATGCACAGGCTGACACCTACTAGGGATGGGTCACGATTTTCGAATATTCGATTAGTTGATTTAAAGACATGGTGTGGCGCAGCACTATGCTTCTCGTCTGGTATGCGACCGCATTAAGGCTGGAATAGCCACTTATTTCAAAGGTGGAATTGTCAAAGATGACTTTTAGGATTAGACTCTGTAAGATAGGCTGGTAGTCTGTTTTCCCCCCTGACGAGGGTAGGGGAGAGGGCCAAGGTTCAAAAGTCATGGTTCGCTACTGGTATGTATGCATGCATGCATGTATGCAAGAGCTCCTAAAAAACCACAACAAATTCACACACTTAGCGAATAAAGCTCATTCTGATTCTGATTATTTAATAGACATTTAAAGTAATAGGCTGCATTTACACTGGCACAAAAAAATTTAATTTTTCGCTCACATCTGACACAGATCGGAATTTGTTGCACACGTGTAAACACAAAAATCCAAATGAGATCTGAATTTTTTGCATCCGATCTGAGCCACTTCCAAATGTGTATTTTAATCGGATACATATCCTATATCTGGACATATGACCTACGTCTAAACACACATATCCGATTCCCCGCAGAACTCCCAATGTAAGGGCGACACGTTTGCCCATAAAGACAGCGTTTAAATGCCGGTGTGCTGTATGTGCTCGCATTTTACTGATATGCAAACTAGCTGCTTTTAATATCTTGTATATTTCTTTTTTTAAACACCTATTTGACTTTGTCGGATCAGATGACATGGCAACAGAGGTGTTCTCCATCCAGAGGGATAGAGTGCCACCAATAAATATAATTGATCACATCAAAGAATCCTGCACTGTTTTTGTAACCTGGGATGATGTAATGGACCCAGACATTGATGTGAGACTCATATAACTTTGAAATTCAAAACCTTATTAAGTGCTATTTAGGAGTTTACTTTGGTTTTTAAAATGTAGTTCTGTCAGGACACACTGGTTCCTGAAGAGAACACTCATGAGAACAACTCATCTGGGTACTTGGATAGAACTGTTGGCTCCCCTGATGTTAATGACAATAACGAGTAAGTGGAAGTTTCTTACTTTATTATTATTGTACTGTTTAATGATTTGATGGCAGGCCAGTTGGGTGCTGCATATGGATTCAAGATAATATGCTAGCCCATCTGTTTTGGATGTCGCAAAGCCCTACCTGCAATATGTTTTATTAACTGCCACTGCTTATGAGCATAGCTGTCTGTTTATTGGTTATCATTTACTGTTATGTTTTATTTTTCTAGACCAGATCTAAAAACTGAAAACTTACTGACCACTCTAGCATCAAAAGTCTGTATTGGGGAAACGCCCAGCAGTAATATGATAATGGTATGCAGACAAAACGTAATGGATGATGCTGTGCGAGCCTTTGCGAGGAGGAGTTTTACTCCAGAGGCCAAACTAAGTGTTGTATTTATGGATGACTTCAATCAAGCAGAGGGTGCGGTGGATGAGGGTGGGCCTACATGGAAGTTTTTCAGACTCCTTATGACAGCTCTCAAGGAAAGCTCTCGTTTTACAGGGCCACAGATCAATATGAATCTGTCTCTGGATAGTCGGGGTTAGTATTCATATATTCCCCTCGTCTAACTTGCTCTTCTAACAAACTGAAATAATATTTTTGCCTTTGTTTTCAAATTTAGATTTGAGTTTACAATTGTCTTGTTCTGCAAATACGTCCCACACTCTTACTGATTAAAAAAATCTTTGTTCTGTTTTTAACACAAATTTTTGCAGCATTACAGAGAAGTCTGTACCGAATATATGGAGTAATGATTGCTGTGGCACTCGTGCATGGAGGATTGTTTCCTTCCTTCTTTTCTGAGAGGCTTTACCAAAATAGCAGATCTGGATTGGCAGTGGAAATTATAAAATTTATGACATAATGTTGATATTTTGGTCCTTATTCTGCATTATTCAAGCCAATGGTGAAGGCATCACAAAGGCCTGCTTCTACTAGTAAACTGTACATGATATAAAGATCAGTGAGACAGGAGATATTACAGCAGCTAGAGATGTCATTATGGAAGCTGCAGAAAGCCTGTCCATGTTGGGGTCCCTGGGGCATATCACCACCATGGAGGAAAGGGACCAGATAGCTCAGGCAGCCATAACTTTCTACGTGGAAGGAAGGACTAAAGAAGTCTTACAACAGTAAGTGTGTATATTTTATGTAGTTATGTTTTATATTTTTGCATATATTTCGTGCGATTTTTATTTGTGTAGTTCCACAGTTCATCTGTAATGGTCAATACAAATTGTAAATTGCATTTAATCTTGTTTTCAAAGCCTTCATTTTGTTCATGACAGTACCAGTGTGGTTGGAGCAGATTTTTTCCCTTTTTTATAAGGAAAATACTTGGGTGAGATGTTGTTGTTTTTTTCTTGTTGAAGGGCAAATCTACCTAAAGCTACACACAGTTATCTAAAATGGTGCACTTGCTCCTATTTGAAAAAATGTGGGGCCAGGGGTTGACTGACACTGTTGGGCCAGTATTGCTTCAGTGGATAATGATGGCCAATTGAGAATGGTACTTCTGATTCACTTAACCTATGACAGTTGCTTTGTTCTCATCACTTTGGTGTGCTGAGGCAACAAGTTTGTTTTGGTAACTGTAACATGCATGTGTCACGCTTATGGACTTGTTTTGTTTGTTTTCCACCATGTGCTCCCTGTGACCCAGTTTCTCCCTCTCGTTTATTAGTCATTTGGTTCAGGTGTGTCTTGTCTATTACCCTCGATTAGTCATGTATTTAAGTCCTGGTCCGTGTTGTCTGTCTTGGTCTGGTCTACAACGTCATGTTCGTGTGTCAACAGCCTTTCCCTGTGTGAGTTCTCCTGCGTATTGGATAGGGCTGCACGATTATGACAAAAATCATAGTTGTCGATTATTCCCTTAAAAATGTAATTGCGATTATTAATTACCATTATCACAATTTGCATTGATTGATGTTTTAAATAGCTTTATACCATTGTTTGAAGCAACTGCATGCCATAATTTTATATAAAAATAAAAAAACAAGCTGAAAACACTCTTCCTGAAAAACTTTTATTGCTTTTATCATTGCCACAAATGTCAACGATACATTGGTTTGGTTTCTTTAAAATAAAAAATAAAAAAGTACAAATATGCAATATGCATGGTATAATAATGTTATACTAAAATTAAAACAATGGAAAAACTCAAGATAACCTGTAGAAAGAAAAAAAAACTGAGTTTGCCTTATCAAGTATTTTGGCCTAGAACACAAGCCATAAATACACTTGAAGTTTTCAGGAATGAACAACACCAAGTTTGACTTTATGTCAAAGATTTTTGGCCAGGAACACAAGCCTGTCTACACTTTCAGGCTTTAGGGATGCACGTAAACAAGTCACAATGTTTCCTCCAGTGCTGAATACTCTTTCCGAGGGAGAGCTTGAGGCAGGAATGCACAAATACTTTTGTGCTAACTTTGAGAGTGCTGGGAATTGTTTTGCATGTTCCTTCCACCAGACCAAAGGATTCTCCTCACTATCAACAGCAGCAGAGAGAAAATAAGACTAGCTCAGCAGTTATGGCCATGTCTTGGAGACCGGAGAGAGATGATGATGCTGGTCTGTGGTCCTCATCCACTTTAAAGAAGCTGCCCAGTGTTTTTTTGGTCTTCTTTAATGCTGGTGCATTTTGGTCTTCTGCTTCCTCTCTAACAGTCACACTCACAGATGCTTGAAGCTTTTAATAAAATGAGTTTAACTCATAAAATATAATGTCATATACTATTACTAGTATAATAAGGGCTATTTATTAATGTTAAATTAATACTGAAAATGGCCCAAACAAAATTATATTATATACATGGCACACACAACCTATAATTATTACCTTCATGACTGTAGATATTGATGCCATTTCAGTTCTCAAACGAATCTTGACAGCTTCAACTCTTTCTTCGTTGACATGCTTGAGCTTGAATCTGGGATCAATTGCAGAAGCCATGTCAAGCAACTCTTGAGTCTGTGGACCATCATACTTCTCATTCAGGTAGTCCAGGATCTTCTTCTTGATGCATTTTGACAGTTCTGTTTCTCCCTCTTTCTCTGCCAAGATTTTATTGTTGAACAAATGAAGTACAGGCTTCACATATGATACACTTACATATTGCCATGTCCCAGACTCCTTTTCTTATTTGATTACATGCCTTCACAACAGATGGTTTAGTTTTATTTGAATTTCAGCTCCATTTTCCGTCTCGGTTCGATTGTTAAAAGTGTGACTATGACAATAAAATCTTGGCCCCAGTCCAGTGAGTCTTAATTATGCCATTGCAAAGCTGTCACTATCCACTCAATTACCACAATCACTTAAGCCACTGCTTGTTTTGAACCCCACCTCGTTGGGCACTCAGTCTTGAGCTTGTGTTGAGGTAACTTGAGCTCTTTCTGGGCCTCGGACAACTCCCTCCTTCGTCTCCAGCTATAGGAGAAGCACCCCACCACCTTTTTGCAGACATTCAGTGCACGGTCAATCCGTCCATCTTTCAAAGCATGTTCTAAACACACACACACTTTGTGTGTGTTTTGTTACATACCACTGCTGTGCACTTCCCACGGCCATATTAGACTGTCTGGCCCACTGTCTCCTCCCCCCACAGAGAGTCCACTCACCACCTTCTCCTCAGTGATGCTCCTCTCCTCTTCATCTGGCACCTGCTCATTGTAGAGCTTGATTGCTTGCAAAAACTTTTCTCTTCCCACAATTTTCTTCGACGCAAGTGTTGAATTTTGTTGCGTTCTATAAAATGTACAAAACACAGAAAACAAGATGGACAAGCTGAATGCAGATATCAGAAGGTAATATGAAATAGTAATACTTACTATAACTAACTTAAGAATTAATAAATCAAAATGTAAAAAAAACAGAATAACTTAAAAAGGCATAATAGGCTTAATATCTGTAAAATTAAGAGGAATACATTTTAAAATTAAGGACCTGAAAATATTTAATTCCAAAACAATCCAGATAATACATCTGCAAGTAATACAAATTACAAAAATATTAGATGAGTTATTAACATACCAGTCTGATTATAAAGGCTGGCTTATTTTTGATGAACACCAAGAAACATTTGTTCAATTGATTTCTGAAGGTTATGTTGGTCATCACATCTGGTACCTACAGAATCTTAAAGCAACAATAATACAAGTAAATGAATTCCATATTTGGTGGTTATTTTGTGATAGAAGTAATATTGACAGAGATATTTAGACATTTGTGACAGAAAAATTCATTAAAAAAATTCTGTTTTGATGGCACCCGGTGGCTGTTTGTGGTATAACACCCTAAATAAAATCTCTCAGGAACCTCCATTTTTTTATATCAACTTCAAATTTGGAACATAACTTATTTAGACATAAGCCTTTAATTTAATAGCAATTTTGGATTCAGAAATATTTTGAAAAACATTTATTTTATATAAAATAAAAATGGTACAGTGCATTTTCTTTACAGTAAATTTAAACTTCTTAAACTTTTTGACACTTTAATATTTTGAAATGTTTGAAATTAAAATTTTATATATTGAAATCTGCAGATTGTCTTCTTAAAAAAAAAAAAAGAGTCCAACCTTAGGTCTGTATTCCAAAGCGTTCA